TTTAACTATGATATGCCTTGATGTTTTTCTTTTGGGGTCGAATCTATATGGTGTTCGCTGAGCTTCCTGAATATATATTCTCTCATTCTTCATTTACAGAATGACTTATGCTCCCCAAATATGTGTTGTGAGTTTTAACGTCTGTATTGTGGTTAGAATTCTATATGGGGATGTGTTGTCCTTGTTATGTGACAGTGAGCCAGCCAGACTTCCTCCAGAGAGGTCTCCCTGAGTTCACACTTCCAAGCATCCTTGCAAACAGTGAGCAAACACACGTGCTTCTTAAAGCCACACCCTGGGGTTTTCCTGTCACAGCAGCACTAGATCCCTATGACATATGTGATCATCAACAAAGGACAAAACCCACAGGATTATATGAAGAAAGAGCAGCAATATAATTTGACACCTTTCATGATCAAAACGTTTAATCTGTGAATAGCGGGACTGCCTCCAAACTGATTAAGGGCATCCATGAAAAAAATCCATGGCTAAGTATCATACTTGCGGGAGAAGAATGGGGCAATCTCTTGTCATGGCATTTAACTGTCTCTGAAAACCTGCTGGAGGGTCAGCTGTAGTTGGTTCTGACTCAACAGCACACAGCAACAATCACACTTAGTGGTGAAAGATGTAAAGTTTTCTCCAAAGACAAAGATGTTTGATTTCATTTCTATTTAACACTGTGATGGAGCATTTGTTCAGCCAGGATAATCAATACAAAGAAATAAAAGAATCTAGATTGGAAACTCAAGCGGTCCTCCAGCCTCAGCCTCCTCTAAGAGCTGGGACTATAGATAGGCACGTGCCGTCTCACGTATTGAGTATGTTGCCAGGGATAGACCAGTCCTTGGAGAAGGACATCATACTTGGAAGAGTAGAAGGAGAAGATGACCCTGGATGAAACGGATTAATACAGTGACTGGCAGTGGGGTCAGGAATGTCAAAGATGGTTAGATTGGCTCAGGACAGGCCAACGTTCAGAACCACTGTTCCTAGGGTTGGTAGGCGTCGTAGTCACCTCAGCAACACATAACAACAACATATTGAAAAGGAAGAAGTAAAACTAACTCTGCAAGTGATGGGATTCCATAATATAGAACATTTTAATGACTCATTAAAATGCTATTGGTACGAGCAAATAAGTTTAACATGGTGATTAGATTAAAAGCAAGATACATAGACCCTTCCTGTTTCTTCAACTCCAATTTTGCCCGCAGTTTAAAAGTCACCCAAATATTGAAAATGAAATTTAAATCTGTATTATCTGAGAGAAAGCATGTGGGTGGGTGGGTGGGTATGTTTGTGCATATAGGTGTGTATGTATGTTGGCACATACATGAAAGTACATGTAAGCATGTACCACGTGAGTGTGGTATACGTGTGTGTACATGCACGCATACACCCGTGTATACGAGTGGTATGCATGTGTATATGTAAACATGTATATTTGTGCACACACAAGTATACATCCAGGTGTATGTTTAAGTGGTATGCATGGGTGTACATGCAATTGGTTGCTAGCCTGAAGTCTTCTAAGGTGTCTGTTGATACCCTCAGCCCTTCCCTGGTAAGCTGTGAGCGTGTGTGCTCCCATCATTGTGAATTCTTAGAGTAACACTTGCTGTTGCTGTGACGGAAGATGGACCCTGAAAAGACTCCTGAGGGAGAGAAGTCCTTGGCACTCGGGCATGTGGCTGGGTGGTGCCCTGGAGGTGGCTGGGCGGGGTGTGTGCTTAGGCCTCTGGCTGTGGCAGCAAGGACACTGTGCCTGTCAGACATGAGGTCTGGGACACAGGAGACACCTCCCTCCCTGCAGATGGTCTTCATAGCCCACTGGTGGCTGTGGCCAAGGTCATAGGTTCTGGCATCCCCAGAGGGTGTGACCGTGAGTCTCTCAGCAGGACCAGATCACGGACAAGGCAGAGGGGTCGCTGTGGCACTTACCTGCAGTTTGCGAAGCTGCTTGATCACTTCATCCCGAGCTTTGTTCGCTGCCTCAATTTGGGCTTCAAGGTCCTTCAGATCTATTTCCATTTTCTTCTTGGAAGCCACAGCGAGGGCCCGCTGTTTGCGCTCATCTTCCAGCTCCGCTTCCAGCTCCCGGACCTGAGGACAGGTGGCCCCAGTTATGCCCATCGCCTCCACCCTCCTCCCATCTAAGGACGCTGCCCCTGGGTGAGAGGTGAAAGCTTCTGTCATTCTGAGGTGATGTTCTCTGCTATGAAGCAGAGTATTATTATAAACAAAAAAACCACAGCAGCTTTCATTCAAAGGGATTATTAAGAATAAAACAGGCTGGCCAATATCCAGTCCAAATCGATCCCGCAGAGCCCTGATTTAAGCACTTAGGTCTAGGTGATGCAACATGACTGAACGATGTGAGACAACTGGCCACGAGGCAAGGAAAAAAAGGCCAAGACAGACATGGAGATGGTCAGAGGCCTGGGAGGGAGGGAAATAGGTGAGACAGTTTCCTGGCCACAGGGCAGATCTGCCAATACAGAATGAGTGCACTGGTGCTTGGCAGAACGGGGGAACCTGGGAGTTTCTAACATCCAAAGAAAGAGGTGGGCAGCAAAAGTCCACTGGAGAAGTGACAGAGTGAAGGCCAGCTCCAGAGCAGGTGGCCAGGGGTGTGAGGACGAGTGGAGGGAAAATCAAGAAGTGGAGGGAGACGTGAGAGGTGGCAGGAGACAAGCACTGGGGTCCATCAACAACTCCTGATCATCACGCATGCTGGACAGGGCAGTGCTGTGTCCTCACACCACTAGCCACGCTCCTCCAGCATCCAGGCACTGATGATAATCTACAAACAGGATGCGCAGGAAATAGGGGAGCTCCAAATTCACCAGTGTGAAGTCACTGGGAAGGCCGTCACCTCTGTGGCACAGTCTGCCCCTTTCCTTCTTCATTTATTTGCTCATTTGGAAAGCACTATTAAGGGTTCCCGTGTGCCAGGACTGCAGCTGTGACAGCAGGGACAGAGACATGGCCAGGTCTGCGTGGGGTCCCTCTTGTTCTGTCCCCAGGCTCAGAGACAAGAGAACAGGAGCCCAACTTCAGTGTCCCAGTGGAAGACACACAGGGCTTCCTAACAGATAAAAAGTGACTGGGCTTGTAAACTCAGTGACAGAAAAGAAGAATAGAAAGTCAAAACCAATTACAATGAATTAGAGAGAATGAAGCTGTCAGTGATCACAGCTAATGAGCAGGTTTTAATTTGAATGATCAGGTATTGACCTGAAATGGCCTCTGAGGAGTACAACCCTCGGACCCACCTGTTTAATCAGCAGCCGCTTCTTTTCTTCGTTCTGTTCATCCCGGGTCTGAAGGTCCCGCTCGAACTGGGCCTTCATGGCCTGCATGTTGACCTCCAGGCGGAGCTTGGCATCTTCTGTAGCCTGGAGCTCATCCTCCAGCTCCTCCAGCTGGGTCCTCATCTCTTCCACCTGCTGCTCCAGGGCCCGTTTGGACTTTTCAAGTTCGTGAACCTAAACCACAGAAGCATCAGGGGAGAGAGCTGACCCTCAGCAGAGGACAGCAGCCTTCCTACTCTGTGGGCCCACAAATGGTCAGCGTGGTTACCGAGGGCCAGTCTCTCTCTCTCATCAAGCAGTGGTCATTGGTACTTAACTGACAATACTGGCATCTGCATCTCACAAGTGGCTGTAATTGTCATTTGATGACCTTTAAAGCAGAGAGATCTTTAACAGCCAAAAGAATAACAAAACAGGAGTGTCAGCCAAGCAGCCCCTGTGTGCTAAGGTGTATTTTTATACACTGAGGCCCTTGTTGCTTTAATCTTGTACTGAAAAGAAATGAAAGCATGGAATCTTTGAAGTATCATCCTGTGGTACGCCTGAGAAGCTTAAATACTGGCCTGACTTTTTTGTTATGGATGAAGAGACCCTCAGGGATGTGTGCTCCCTGTGGCCCCCCATCTCACACAATCCCACCTAGGCTCTCAGCAGCCCCTGAGGTGGGCACTACTGTGTCTGCCCAAGGGCTTATGGCCAGGCCAGGCTCACAGAAAACAGAGGAGAAAGATGCCTACGTGAGGGGGCCTGTCTCTCAGCACAGCCTGGCATTCTGTAGACACGAATGAAATGTGTGGGGTCAATGTGCAACTTTTCAATGTTCTAGAAAAACCTAATAAGGAACAAGAGAAAGGACTCAGTGATGGTGTCCCCCCCGCGCTTTACCCCATGACTGCAGCACTTCTGTTCTAGGCAGCACTGTTCTAGGCTAGAACTTCTGTTCTAGCTCTATGACGCTCAGCTAGTCCCCTGGAGCCAGGGTGTAAGAGACACAGTAGGATTGCAGAGCAGCCTTCGCTCTTTATGTGGCTGTGAAAACATGGTTGGAAGAAGGCCCGTGGACAAGCCAGTCTGGAAGCTGGGCTTCTACTCTCAGACTCGGCTCACTTCACTACATCTAACACCTCAGGTACAGAAGGAGGGGACGGAGCATAAGCTCTTTGTTGGTGCCGCACGAAGTGGAAGGTTACACAGCGTCTCAATAGTGTGCACACAGTCAACAGGCCCTGAACCTGATCACCTGATAAGCTCCAGGCCTGGGAGAACGACAACAGACCCCCACCCCATCCAAGGTGACCCTGACAGGACACAGGATGGAGCAGTGAAGGCCAGAAAAGGGACAAGAGCAAAGCTACCCTGCCCATCAATGCGTCTATGAGATGCCTATTTGGCTTTGGAACCAACAACCAAAGAGACCGGAGAAAGCCTTTATCAGAAGATGGTCATCCTCATCCTCTATATCTGTAGAAGCCTCTGGCTGGACTCTAGATCTCCCACATGGGTGCCCACTCCCTGTTCGCAGGCACCACTAGCCCCGGGCTTTCCTCTGCCTGCACACCGAAGCCCAGTGTGACTCACGTTCTTGCCCACATCATCTTTGGAGCTCATCAGGTCCTCCATGTCTGCACGCAGCTGCTTGTTCTGCCGCTCAAACTCTTCCTTGGCCTCCAGGGCCTCCTCGAGCGCCCGAGCCAGCGACAGGGCTTTGGTCTCCTTCTCTCTGGCCTCTGCTTCTGCCCGGTCCCGCTCCTCTGCATAGCGAGCGGAGATATTCTTCTCTTCAGCTAAAAGCTACAGCGAACGATGCAGTGAGAACATCATCACCAGACTGGCTGTATGTACTATTAGAATAATATCTTTTTTTTTTCCTTTGACCAATTTAGTGATAAATATGAAAACAAAAACAAACAAATGTTTAGATAACAAAAGATGATTTTAAATGAAAACAATAACTAGGACAGTTTGGCCAGGAGGAAACCATGTGTGGTGCTCCTCATGTCTGGAGAAAGGCATGAGAGGACTCACCTGGTCAAATTTCTTCTGCTTCTTCTCCAGGTTGGACACGATCTGGCGCTGGTGGTCGAGGTCGACTGTCAGGTCGTCCAGCTCCTGCTGCAGGCGGTTCTTGGTCTTCTCCAGCTTGTCGTAGGCCAGGGCCTTCTCCTCCAGGCGCTGGCTCAGCGCCTCCACGTCCTTCAGCAGCTTCTTCTTGGCTTCCTCCAAACTTTCAATGGTCCCCAAGTCATCGTCGACCCTCTTCTTGGCTTCCAACAGCTAGGTTTTGCATAAGAGAAGAAGATGAACACTGAAGGACTCAAATGGGTTTTGCATTAAAAGAACAAAGACTTTTGCTTTTAATACTCTGTGAGAAAAAGTGTAAGTCATTACTATGTGGTTTGAATAAAAATGAATCTTAGTGGCAACTGAATTTTTAAACTAACCTATGAAGTAACTGGACTGAGAGCTTCCATAGTTGATCCAGTCCTGCGCCTTTACTTTAAATGCTTCCAACATGGTAATCAGTACAAAGTAGCAGCATTTGGCTGGTCAAAGAAAATTACTTAAGGGGCTTAATTAGGTACAACCTAATTAACTGTCCCAAATGGATCCAAAGGCTGCAAAGCAGCAGGGATGTGCGGTTCGTGCAGTGTCTTGAGGGCACATACCTGGGACTGCAGGGCCAACACCTGCTTCTCCAGGTTCTTCCTGGCCTCCTCCTCCTCCTCTTGCTGCTCCTGAAGACTGTTTTTCTCCTCCTCCAGCTGCCGGATCCTACTGCTCAGATTCAATTTCTGGCGAGTCTCCTCCTGAAGCAGCTCCTGTTTGAATTGGTATGTAAGTGGGTACAGTTAGGTACCGTTTATGTCGATGGTCAGTCAAATGTTTGTTTTCGTATAGAGCCTACCTTTTACACAGAAACATCTTTCACATAATATGGGTTGGTTTGGGTTTTTTTTTAATAATTTTTATTTCTTTGTGTGTGTGTGTGTGTGTGTGTGTACACTGTCAAATCAGATCTGACTGGTACAGGAGGAGATTTCCCCTTCTCCAGCAGAGCATCTATCTGGTGGATTCGAACCTCATGCCTCCAGGATTTCAGTGCAGCTTCTAGCCACTAGGCCACCAGAGCTCCCTTATCTTTCACATAATATGGTTTTGATGTGTATTGTAATGTAGCATCTGTTTCGTACTCCAAACCACTCTATGCTTTAAACGTTTAATGTAATAGGATTTGGGGGAGATGTCGTTTCAAGTTGTATGTAACTTTTCTAAATCATAAAGTGAACATGTTCTCTTTCAGCTCCTTTCATTTTTCTGTCATCTGGCCCTTGCTAGCTTCACTAACCACAATGCTTCCTCGTCATCACTTACAGCCCTATTACACAGAACTTCTTCTCCAGTGGCCTAATTATGGCATCTTCTGCTAGTCTGTTTCCCCACTCCTTTCTTTGCTTCATGTGCATTTGAATATTGGACAGTGAGTAAGAAGCTCCAAAGAAGAACTGATGCCTTTGAATTACGGTGATGGCCAAGAGGCCTGCCCAAAGACAAACCAAATCTGCAGTAGAAGTGCAGCTAGAGTGCTCCTGAGCAGCAGAGACTGGGACTTCAGCTCACAGGCTCGGGGCATGCTGTCAGGCAGGGCGTCCTGGTGAAGGGACTGACATAGTGACCCTCAAACGGGCAGCACTGCAGAGCCTGAGGGAGGTGTGGGTGCAGCCAAGGCCTCAGCTGCTCACACGGAGTGGCTGTCTGTGAATCTAATGGCATTTAACAACACTCGCAAATTTAATAAAAAGATAGACTTGTTTAAGGGGGAAAAAAGGTGCTAACTTACTTTCAATCACTGAAGCATTAACCTAACTTCTGCTTGGCCGGAGTGGAATTCAATCACCAGGGAAGCACAACGCCCTACAGACTCTATAGGACTTCATGATACCGAACTCAGTGACACAGAAGACAATTCAGGACTAGCTTATTCCACCAATTTACAAACAATGCAAAACTGTACTGAGCAGGCCCCTGCTCCCGGCGTACCAACCTGTGTATCCTGTAGCTGAGATTCTAGACTAGCTGCATCCTTAGCAAACTTAATGCCCTTCTTCTCTGCTTCTTCCAGAAGTGTGGAGACATTATCTAACTCGTTCTGAAAGGAGGCAGAAGATACAATTCAATTTGACAGTACACAAAAAAGTCTCAGAATCTCTATTTTTAAATATAAACTCGTGACGCTGTAGTGGAGGGAAGGACAGGCCATGATGATGGACAGGAGGGCAGGGGAGGCTGGACAAATGCAAAATCTCCACCTAATTAAGGAAAGTTCTTAAGATCAAGGCTCTCTAGCCTCCAAAGTCACTGCACCAGCCCTGACAGCTCCATCTAAGAAAAGGATAGGGTGAGGTCATAAAGTTTTCTGAATTTCAGCAACAATCTTGTTTTATCTTGATAATGAAAAGACAGAAATGATACTAAGACTGGAAATAATGCCTGCAATCTATGTGAAGAGGCTGTGAGATCAGCAGCTGCCAACTCTGTCACTAAGAGGATTTACCCATTACTTTGGGGCAAATATAATTCCCATTATTATAGACTTGAAATGTTAGGAAAGACGTTTAAATTCAGTATTTTAAGTCACAAGTTTCTTAAGGTCTCACAATTGCTGAAGTTAACCAGTAGTAAGTCCCTCTGAATAAACAGGACACCTATCAGGGTAGTGTGCGGATAACACGATGTGTGCTGGGCACCTGTTTCTTCCTGGGAGCCTGGAATTCTGGCACAGGATGGGCAGAAGGTGCCTTATAAAAATAATCAAACTCCCTAAATCCCTGTGAGCCAACTGAGACTCACAGGACCCTCCAGGTCAGACAATTGCTCTGTAGGGTTTCCAAGGCTGTGAATCTGTTTTGGGGGAAGCGGAACGACACGTTTTTCTCCCAGAGAGTGACTCGCTGACTCTGAGGACAGCAGTCGAGCACCTAACCACTGTGGACCAACACTGAGGCATCCCTGAGCAGTGAGCCTCTAAGGAGCTTTTCTGGTAGACCACAGTGCACACAGCTGCCAGGACTTGCGCTGTCTGACTCCACTATAAGAGGAATCCCGAGCCTTAGAATTTTCTAAGAATGCCTCTCTATGTACCATTTTATATTACCAAGTTTGCTTTGAATCCTTTTACTTTAGTAAATGTACCATGAATATGACTAATCTGCTGAGTGTGGAGTCGTCTCAGTGCCTCACCAAATCTGGGAGTGGTTGTGGGGATGCACATCTTTTCTTATTAATACTCATTTTCTGTATCATTTTTACTCATTGGACAAAGCATTATTAGATGCTGAACCCCAACTTGAAGGCATTGATTGTGACTCACAATAATCCTGCAGGACAGAATAGAACTGCCACAGTTTCCAAGGCTGTGAACCTTTGTGGAAGCCAGGCTCATCTTCCTCCCAGAGTGGCTCATGGTTTTGAACTGCTGACACTTTGGTCAGCATACAAATGGGGGAACTGGGCCTTTAACATCACGTCCAACTATACACACATCAGCAACGAACATTCATAAGGTGGAACCTAGGATAAATGACTAGGTATGGATGGTGTGCTTAATCCAGGCCATGGGCCTTCTAATTACTTGTCATGCTTCAGAGAGTTGGTCAGTGACTAAGGATGACAGAAGAAGAACTGATGTCATCAAATTGTGGTGCTGGAGAAGAGTTCTGAATATACCATGGACTGCCAAGAAAACAAATAGGTCTGTCTTGGAGGGGTTGAAACCAAGTTTCTCCTTGGAGGCTAGGATTTTGAAGCTCAGTCTCATGTACTTTTTGCATATGGCCAGGAGAGACCAGTCGTTGGAGAAGGACATTGTGCTCAGAAGGGTGGAGGGACAGTGCAGGAGAGGAAGACGCTGGATGAGATGGATTAATATAGTGACTGGGGCTTTGGGGGTTGGTGTGTTGGAGTGAGTGAGACTGGCTTAGGACAGGGTTCAGAGCTGCTGTACATAGGGTTGTTATGGATCACAGGCGATTTGATGGCACGTAATAACAGCACAAGCGACTCGATGATACATAGCAACAAGAAAGGTACTCCTGTACTTAAGACTTTACAAAGCTGCCAGATTATTCTCTCTTTAACACTGTGCTATTTACACCAGCAGTGTACATACAGTTTCCCCAAGTCATCACCAGTACTAAATGCATTTTTTTTACCCCCTCTCATTCACTGGGCTACTGGAAAATCTGAAATTGTGTTTGTAACTGTTATCTTTTAGAAGTTTTTCTTCTCAGGTACCTCAGGGTGGGAAGCTTCCCGTCTTTCCGTCTTGAAATCACCAGTGGATTCAAACCACCAGAGGTGCAGCCTGCGGGACAGCAGTGTGAACCCCTATGGACTACGACAACAGGACCCCTGAAGGGTTTTGTTGTGTGAGAGAGACTGAAGATTCAGCTGCTCTACCCTGTGATGGTGGTTTTCAGGTATTTAGAAGCTTCTTGGCAGTAGGTCTTCTATGATCAGAAAGTGGGTAAATTACAGACTTACTTCTATGTGTTACGTCCAGAGCAGAGATTTCATGGGTTTACCTGTAACTTATTTGCTTTCTCGGCCAGTTCCACCCTTAGTCGGTCTCCTTCTGAGACCTTGGCATGGAGCTCCTGGACTTGAGCATCAAGCTTCTTCCTCTTGTGCTCAGATTCGGCCTTGACCTGCTGCAGCACCTTCACCTCACAGGCCAGCTCCTTGTTGTCTGTCTCCAGCCCCTGCTTATTCTTCTCCAGATTGGCTTTGAACTAGGAGAAGGAAATGAAAAAAATTATTAATGTTTCTCTACTACTCAACAAAAAGGAGAGCCGTTTTCACCTGTAAAACTCTGCCTGTCACACAGAGCATCTGTGGCATGAATGAACAAAACGCCAGCTGTTTACTGAGTGAGAACATTTCTACAGGGACAACACACTGATAGGCTGTTCAGTGACAAGTGAGTGGTGTTTGGCAGCTAGACTCACTGCTTAGAGGTGTACACACACGTGTGAGGGGCTTGGGCACTATGTAATTTATTTGTGTCAATGCAGCGGGTACAAATGAGTGCACTCGGTCCCAGAATAATCGCCTCGACAGGGCTTTGTACAAGCCAAAAGTTTTTGTTCTTTTTAACCAGCAAGGAGCTGAGGTAAGAGAAGCATGGGAGACACACGTAAGTAAGGAGCTAGCATGCAGCACGGGTAGACACTACATTGGCTCATGGGTGATCACCACCTCCACAGGCAAGGCCCGATGACCAGATGGGGCTCAGCACAGGCCTGGAGGGTGCGGCAGGAGTTGTGATGTGGGGCCTGGGGCAGGCTGCCTGGCTCCCAGTCTGCCTTTCCATGTCTTAACTCTGCCACTCCACTCAGTCCCCTGGCATTGCTGGTCTCAACTCTTTATCCTTTAATTAAAAAGAGTGCCAGAGACTCTGCAGAGATCTGTTACAGAGATTAAAGAGAGCAAAGCATCTCAGTACTTAACAGTGTTAATTACCGCACATATCAATGTGCTACACATAAAAAAGATGGAATCTGAGCAGGCAGGCAAGAGCATTCCAAGGTGGGGAAATAGTAGCAGAGCCAAAAAGCATGGCGGTGGGAAGGAGAATGGGAATCAGTGAAATTAGTAGATGCAGTTTATAAACATACATATGCATGTGTGTGCATGTGTATACATGCATGTAAGCACACATACGTATGACAAGAAAATGAAAACCAAGAATGTGTACAGGGAGGAATCAGTCGGGAGGGAGGAGTACATGGGACACTTGACAGGTAACTTCAAGAAGATTTGATGACTCAGCCAAAGCAGACGAAAGGAAAAATGATTTTAAGAAGACTTACGGTTTTTGAGATAATGTCATTAAAAAAAAATTAGTGAAAGAAGTTGAGAGGAATTTGGAACTTGAAATGGTAGTTGGACCCATCTAGTGCTTAGGAAAAAACTTCAGGAAACAAAATTAAACAAAAAGCCCACTCAAATCAAGGATATATGGGTTTTTTTCCCCTCAATATAACCACTGTGCTCTCATACAGCCGACTAGCTTATGAGCACCGGGTTCCCCACTGGACTCAGCTTGGCGCTGTACGATGGCTGAGAATGGACCCAGGGTGGCCTGGAGAACGTGGGACATGGGCCCCCAGCAGGCGAGCTACCCTTACCCTCTTGGCCTGCTCCAACTGCTCTGAGAGCTCCTCTAGGGCTGTGGCGTGCCTCTGCCTCATATCCTGGATTTGAGCTTCATGGTTCTTGGTTTCTTCCTCAAGAGCCTTCTTCAGCTCTGCCACTTCCTGCTCACGTTTTGTACTAGGGGGAAATAAAAAATTAAGAAACGCAGAATAAGTTGACTAGCAGAATGAAATATTCATCTTTCTAATGTGTCGTTTCTGCTTTACACTGTACATCAATTGCTTTGGTACCCATCACTCACAAGCTTTTTCAAATTGTATCTCAATCTGCTGATCCATCCACCCACACTGTCATGTCCTAAGAAAGCTCTCCCTCATAAGAGAGCTGCAGGCAGCCGTGAGGTGGAGACCTGAGGTGGCAGAGGCCCTGCATGAGCTGTGGGGGGACAGCACAGTGTGGGAACCCCCTGCTCACCCACCGGAGTTCCTGCTGGGCAGCAGTTGTGTCCAGGGTGTCCTCCAGCTCAGTTTTCAGGGCTTCCAGTTCCTCACTCAAGTCCCTTTTCTGTTTTTCCGCCTTGTTCCGCGATGCCTTTTCAGACTCAAAGTCTTCTTGGAGTTCAGCAATTTGTGCTTGAAGCTCTCGAACAACTTTAAGTGCATTATTCTTATGAAGAGTTTCATCGTCGCCTCTGAAAACAAACAAGCATAAACACTCATCGATGGTTCAGGGGACTGGCCCTGGAGCACCTGCCCACTGGAGACCACGGGGCATGAGGCCTGAGGGGACACTGGCGAGCTGGAAGGGCAGGGATGGGGGTTCTTGGGTTGTATGTTGTTGAGGCTACAAAATCAGTGCTGACGGAAGCACAATCAAAATTCACAGTAACGTTCTCAGCCTAGCTCCTTTTCCAGAAATCTCCAAGAAGGTAGGATAATCTGATACTGATAATTAGAACATAGAACTCCCTCTAAGTAAAGTGCTAGTGTAACTAGAATACTGATCAAGGGACCAGTCTGCTTGCAGAGTGACCCAAGCTCGCATGTTTAGAGGCCAGTTCAGAATACGGCGACATACTCTTAGTTGACACCTTCCTTGTTTCCAGGGAGTCTCTTTTTTTGTTCTCGTGTGTGATTCAGGATGCTGGGGAATCTTTTTGTCTGGAGGTAACTGAGATGCCTGAGGTAAAGGAAGGGAAGGAGGCATACAATAATGAACAGAAAAGAATTTAGTTTTAGAGTGAAAAAACAGATGGTCAGAGAAAGACTAATAACAATAGGGGCTGGTGAAAAGGTCTGTTGAAAGATTTTCTTGTAAAAAAAAAAGTGTAGTAAGAAAAACAAACCAAGTAGTTTGCTCCATTGGACCAAAATGGTTTTTCATTCTCAGGATTTCTGGCAAATTATTTTCTCTAAATGTCCAAAGTCCCCAGGTGGTACAATCGGTTCATATGCTTGGCTACCAACTGAAAGGCTAGTGGTTTGAATCCACTGGGAGGTGCCTCAGAAAAAAGAACTGATGATCAACTGCTGACAACCAGCCTCTGAAACGCCATGGAGCCCAGCTCTACCTGGCAACACATGTGTGTGCTTGGAGTCTAAGTTGACTCCACAGTAACAGGTAAATGCCTTTAATGCATTAAAACTAACCTTTAATGTTCAGAAACAAACATTTGATAAGTAAAAATCTGTGGTGTGACTTTCCAAGGATGTTATAATAAGAATAGTATAAATATTGAGAACTGTTTAGATTTTCTTGCATGCTTGGGTTATTTTATTTGTGTGAAACCCAACAGCAAGAAAGCAATTCAGCACTCTCTGAGGGCTTTTGCTTATTGCTCAGCAGGAGGCGTTCTCTTAAGAACCAAGCCCAGCGTCACCCGCTCCCTGGAGGCTTGGCCAGCACAGACCTGGCCAGTGCACCCTGCAGCTCCTCCTCCTTCTTGGCCAGCTGGACCTTTAGCTCGTCAATCTGGGCCTGCAGCTCTGCGATCTGGTCCTGCAGGTCAGTCGTCTCACCGTCCAGTTTTCTTTTGGCTTTTTCCAGTTCCTGGCGTGTCTTTTCTTCCTTCTTTAGGCGTTCTTTAAGACAAGACAGAAACAGTTCTTCAGTGCACTGAAGGGCACACCATTTGAATAAACTCAAAATTCAAACGGATTTGAGTGGAAAATTGCTCCATTATTTGAAACCCATAAGAATCAAACTAATGACAGGACGGAATGTGGAGGAGGAGGTTCGTGAGCAGGATGTCCTTCTGTGGAAATGGAGCACATGCTACCAGAGCTGGGGTGACCTGGAACCCATGGCTGTGCCAGCTTAAAGTGGCTCCAGGGGATGGGGCCCCCACCCTATGTCCCTCAGCTGAAGGGACTTGGAACCTGTTGCTGTCCCATGTGGTTCAAGTGGCACTGACGGGGTTGGGGGCACGCCATGTCCCCTGGCAAGGACCCGTCTGAACCAGGAAGCCTTGGCATATCCCAGTGCAGAGGCCAGGGCTGGCGAGTGTAGGAAGGAAGGGCTATGTGGCATTTCTTTCCACCCTGCCCACCAATATTCTGCAGACTCTGAACACTAGCCATCCAGTCAACACCAATGCTGTCTTTATAACAGTGTAACACGTCTATCTCCCTTTCTGTTCTCCACCAGGAATAGGGATGAAACAGGAGAAAATGAACAGGCTCATCTGCTGTGAGTGTATCCTTAGAGGAGAACTAAAGACTAGTTATACAGACTAAAATATGCTTTAAGAAAACAATTTCAGCAGGGTGTTGTTTTTTTTTGTTTTTGTTTTTGTTTTTTTAATTTTGTGTACGTGTACCGTCAAATCAGATCTGACTGGTACAGGAGGATATTGCGCCTCCTTCTCTGGCAGAGCGTCTGGTGGATTCGAACCGTGTTCCTCTGGGATTGCAGTGCAGCTTCTTGCCACTAGGCCACCAGAGCTCCCCTATGCAGGGTGTTTTTTAGTGGCTTAGTGGCAAGAAGCTGCACTGCAATCCCGAAGGAATAGGGTCTGAGGCCACCAGCCACTTTACAGGATAAAAGACAGGGAATCTCCTCCCATGTGATTAACTGCCTCAGAAAACCCACTGGAGAGTCAGCTATGGATTGGTTCTGACTCTACAATACATAACGACAACCTGACTTAATGTTTGAGATTATCATTTTTTGGGGTGGACGTTAAACATAGGGTCATACAATTTGATGAAAGGGGGCTGTGTGTGTGAAGGGGAAAGATCCAGTGTGAAAAACAATGTATGTGTATGAACTTTGTAAATAAACCAGTATAAAATAAAAATTAAACAACAACAAAATTAAAGAGTTAGAGGGGCTTAAAAAAAAAAGAATGTCAGTGAAACTACAACTGGAAGATGGGTGGATGAAGAAACACATTTGACCATTACATAAAATAAAACAAAACAAAACATACAATAAAGAAAAGAATTTCCCAGTGTCATTCCTCATTTTGTCTATAGTAACAATTAAGAAGAAGGGGGAGAGAAAAAAACAACAACAAAAAACTGGTTCCTTCCTTATTTCAAAATGGAAGTCGTCAAGTGCCTGCCATCCTTGACCTGGGCTTCTGAGCCCAGGGAGCGGAGTTAAGAGGTGCGCTCTGCCGTCCTCCGTGACTGTCCCTGGCTAGCCGCTGGTCATAGGTAAGGCTCTTCCAACTGCTACCCTCTAATTCTTTTGAAGAAAGCTATGATTCATTTTGCAAGAATCCTAGGATTTCTTGACATTCCTTTTGCCATAAGAGTGAGATACCGTGAGCCTTTACAGTTTCTCCTCAGTTCCTGCTGGTTCTGATCCCAACTGTTAGTCGCATTGTGAAGTAAAACCTCAGTGTTTTCATATAAATTACATACAAAGTCTACTGGCCTATGCAACCAACCTCACCTTAGATCCCAAGTATTCCGTCAATGGGCAGTGCTGTTGTCATTTAAAACAAGCAAAAATACAAAACATTTAAAGGCACACTCACATGTCCTAATTCTAGATCTTAAGCCCTGAAAACGAACCTTCTAAATCTGAGATCATCACTTCTTGCTTGTTCCTGATTTTAGCCAAATTCTTCGCCTTTTCTTCCTCTTCAGCCAGCTGAGAGGAGCACTCAGCAATGCGATCTTCCATGAGTTTCTTTTCCTGAGTGGGGGGTTCAAAAGAACAACTTTGGTTTGGTATTACTTGGTTGGGTTTGTGTTGTTTTGTTTTTTTTTTTTAATTACTTCTTTAAAATTGTATTTTATAAAATTAATCACCATTGAACTATGCCTACCACTACTGTGTCTTTCCAGGTCCCCGCCAGATCCTTCTGTAAGGACAACTGGTGGACTTAAATGAGAAATTCAACTATTTTCTGTCTTTGGAAATCTGTACAAGTAAAGACGTAAAGAACCTAGAACCTTCCTGAGACTTTTCCACTGGAAGCCACTTTGTCACGAGGGCACAGCCTAACCATTTTCTGTATCTGTGTCAATATTCTCTTACTTTGATAAATTTGGAGTTTTGGTCCTCTAGAAGCAGAATCTCCTCCTCCATCTTCTTGATCTTGGCCTCGGCGGTGACCTTTTCGAGCTGTAGCTTCTGTCGGGCACCTTCCTCCTCATCCAGCTGCTCCTCCAGGTCCTTGTCAACAACACACAGTCAAGACACAAGTCACTTTATGCACAAAATTCTACCACACATTGATAAGAAAAGCAACGCAAATTGAGATCTAGTGTTTGATTTTCAAAATAGCAAGGGTATTTTAAAACTGAGAATATGCAGTTTTATACAACAGACATGTTATTCACATAGTTGAAAGCACAAATTGGCTCCATCCTTCTAGAAGTCAACATGGAAAAGTGTAGCAAGCTTGGAAAATCAGCACTTATTTGAAAAGAATTCCAGGTAATGGTCACAGACAAGAATTACAAAAAAAGATAGACACTGATGTGTTTGTTACTTTTAATACCGAGGAATTATGAGTATGCTACAAAAAAAAGTCCTGAAAATAAAAATGTTGGTTCATTTGTAAAATGGGACAACATATAATAATCAAAATTCCTATTTTAGGATAATTGGTGACAGAGAAACTATGACTAATACAGAATGCCCAAACATATTTATTTTTAAATAAACTATGCATACTCTGTCAAAAGAGGAGAACAAAGGAACAAAATCACCTAGATTGTGAGAAAGGGCTGTTTTACCCTCAACAGGGCCTTTCTAAGCATTCTGAGTATTTCTAAACTATCTGGGACTCTGCTGCTTAATCATTTCATCCCCAGTAATATCTTTGTATAGTACATACCTTACACAATTGTCTATAACAAACAAAAACAGGTATTACTGAGCAAAATTCTACAAATCGGTGTATACTAATTGTGGTCAAATTTTAAGAAATGTGCAAGGATAATTGGCTAATTCACTCATGATTAATTTAGAATGAAAATCTTAGGAAAGAATAACTTTTTTTTTGTCCGTGAAAAATGTGTATATGTAGGTATACCAAGTAGCACGATGTGCCTCACACATCGCTGCCATCCAACCCTAAGCAACTGCTCATGGCCAACCTCATTTCAGCTACGTACGACTCTGTCCTGTCTCTGGAGACTATTCTGGAGCAAATTCAAGGCATCACATTTCACCTGTAAAACCTTCAGGCTCCATCTCTAAATGATAAGAACCTCTTGAAAAAATAAATCTGTTTGTTCGAACCAGAATCTGACTAAGGATCACTTGGCTTGGTTAATATATCTTCAGATTCCTATAATCTCAAGGTTCACCTTTACTTCTGTTCTACTCCTCTGCCATTAGTTTGTTTTAAAAACTTGGTCATTTGCTTAATGACATTCCATAGAGTGGGTTTTGCTAAAGACATTCTTGAATGGCATAATGTTAAGGTGACAAAGGCAGGTAACATAACAAGTTTATTTGGTATATTGTTAATTAGTTCACAAATTGGTGTACACCCCCCCCACCATTAATATATATATATATAAATAATATGCAAAAGAAGAATAACAGAAGTAACCGGTGATAGGTGGGAAATCTTAGGTGCTATCTTGACTTCTCTAAATTTAGGTTTTCTACAATTACTGACTATAATCAGGAAATTAACCTTATTAAAAAGGAACAACAAACCAAAGCCAAACAGCTCTAATAGTCTCGTCTGAAATCCTGCAAAGACAGCCTGAGAGGCAAAGGGGAAAAAAGGGACAATTGAAGATGGTTTCTCTTTGGAGGGCCACAGAGAGTAATGAATTTACCCTCTCACAAAGAGAGATGTTAACTAAGACAACAATCCCAAAACTAGAAGCATGTTCATGTATAAGAATAAAAATAATATATAAAGACTAAAAGGCAAAACAAAATAAAATATAAGTGCAATTCCTGTAAGGATATGTTTGCTCTAACATTTTTATTAGAATAATTTTTTCTAATTCACAGCATTTTGTGTGAAGCTCAGGGTTTGGAAACACAAGCAGGTGGAAGGTGGAATGATATTTGGGTGTCCTTTCACGAGCAAACTAAGAACAAATGTTCTTAAAGAGAAAAGAAGCAACATTTATAATGACATCAAGGTTCACAGTTATTTTGGGAACATCCAAAAGGATATTCCCATGCAAATTTATAAGCTATAGAAATATTTTATATTGTATTGTATGCACACTGTTTTGTAACTATTGTCTGTATATTTAGCCATGCTTCTAACTGGGCTTCATAGGAGGAAAGCTTTTATCTCAAAAGGAAATTAAGTGCCAGAAAAGGCCTCAATTCTTTATTCTGATTTTTGCCCACTTTCGTGGTTAATGCTGGGCAACTCTTATGACCAAGGCCACTCAGCAGAGGACAGGCAGGTGTTTACAGCCTGGCCACCATCTGCTCCTTGGTGAATGTTAAGACTCTAAGCACAAAGCTTCTATTTATTCAACAGATCCACTGAGAAGAGTCAAAATTGAATTCTAAACAAAGATGCCCACAGGTACCTGAATGTGAGCTTGCATTTTTTTCTTTTCATTTTGGAGTATTTGGTTTCTTTCTTCTTCTTCTTCTACCCTCGACTCCAGGTCATGGAGAATCTCTTCCAGTTCCTGCTTTTTAGCAGCCAGTCTTGCCCGCATCTCTTCGGCTTCAGCAAAAAGCTCTGTTTCTGCTTGGAGTTGCTCTGCAAGGATATTCTTCTCCTCTAAAAGCTGCAATTACAATAAAAAGTCTAGTACAAACTTTGCCCACGATTTCAATGGTCAGAGGACATCATCAAAGAAACTAGAATTTAAAAAAAAACATATAATACTGCTGGAAAAAGAATGTCAACTAAATTTTTGGCTACTGTGTAATAAACAAGCCAAAAACGTCTTGCTTGCTCCTCTTGTGTCAGTTATCCTGAATAACGTTCATGATATTTTGAAGACTTTGTCTGTGAAGGGATGTTATTAAAGGAACAGGGAAACATGAACAGGAAGTATATTACTCAAATGCTGTAAAATGAACACTAAAGCCTGCTTGGTGTTTTTGGTCTTTAGTGTTAGTATTTACAGTCCTGAACACTGTAGTTGTCATACAAACATTTCTAGAGCCTCTGCTTTGGTTTTTTTTCCCCCCTTTCAATAAAACTTTATTAAAATTGAAATTTCTCAGGGTATATTCCAAGCAGCGGGGAAAATTAGAAAACCACCAAAAAACATCCTAAAACCTCACAGAAAGGCAGGTCAGATAGATCCAAGCGTTTGTGATGCAGAGAAGCTCAGAGACAGGTAGACGGGTCTCTAGGCTGACCAGCCCCACTCCTTGAGACAATCAACCACTTACCATTAAAAAGGACAGCATTTGCCCCAAGAATAAAGCTTAAAGAAGATACAGGAGATTCTAGAAATGGTGTTCTTGTGGGGATTCCCAGCACTCACACAGAATGCAAATTGTTGAATGGTAAAGCAGTTCTAGAGTTGAACCCATCGCCATAAACATCCTGATGCTCTTGTCTCTGGTTGTGAGCCTCTGCCCTGTTCATGAAGAATAATTATCCGGGAAAGGGATGCTGATTTGAGGAAGACAGGTGGTGGCCTGCACTCAACCTCATCCTTGGAAATTTTCTCCTAACTCCTCTCACAAGAAAGTGCCAAGTGCTGGGGTCTCATCAGAAACAGGTCCTAAATGCAGGTGGACCTCATGATCTGTTCTAAAGCATGTGGTCAAGATGAACTTGTAGCTGAGCTGGAACAGCTGCGTGTGAATATTATTTCGTCTTGCTTTAGTGCAAGGAGCAGCTCTGTGATCCAGGTTTAATAAAAGCAGTTGGCTGTTAACCAAAATAACAGCAGTTCAAAATCAACAGCAGCTGCTCCTTAGAAGGATGAAGCAGTCTGCTTCTGTATGGACTGAGCCTCAGAAACCCTAAGGGTGGGCTGCTCCGCCCCATATGATCACTGTGAGTGAGAATCACTTGGACAGGTCCAGGTTTTTTTATTAGGAATTGGTTCAATTGTTTCATGGTGAGGGAAAGTTTACCTATAACTTTAAAGGACTCGTACAAATTGTCCACAGAAGTTATTGTACATGTTAGATAATAAATGCGATCATCCAGGTGCCAGAGAAATGACAAGGACAAATGTGGAGGAGACAAATGTACATGCTCTGGAAAGGTGTGAAAGCAATCTCCCACAAAACATATCATGTGAGGTTTAGTTTTTTAATTTGGTAAGGATAGCTATAAGTTGTTGTCACTGTGCTGATTTGAAACTAAGTCATAGCTAACCCTCCAGAAGGTTTGCAGGGGAAGAGATTGCCCATCCTTTTTCCACAGAGCATTTGGTGGATTCGAATTGCATACCTTTGGATTGCAGTGCAGCTTCTTACCACTAGACCACCAGAGCTCTGCTAAAGATAGTTTTTTATTTTAGGTAGGTATAGCTTTTATTTCAGGTATGTGCAGGGGTTTTTTATTTTATGTAGGTATGTCGTTGTTGTGTACTGTCAAGTGGGAACCGATCCATAACTGACCCTCCGGTGGGTTTTCAGAGGCAGTTAAGCACATGGGAGGAGACTGCCCATCCTCACACAGAGCAGTGGGTGGGATTCGAACCATGTGCCTTCAGGATTGCAGCACAGCTTCTTGCCACTTGGTCACCAGCTCTGCTATAGATATAGGTTTTTATTTTAGGTAGGTACAAAGATCTTTTATTTTAGGTAGGTATAGCTGCTTATTTGTAACTGAACAAATCTGGAAAAGTGTGAGGGGTTTCTGAAGTTACACACATACCTGCTGATGCTTCCTCTCCATCTCCTCAAGCTCACCTTCCACCTTTGTCTGCTTCTCTTTCACCTTCAACAGCTCTTCATCTTTAGCCTGAAGTTCTTCCTCTTGGCGAGTCACTTGTAAGAGAGGCTTCACCTAGGACAAAATTAAACAGCTTATTGCCACCTCTCTTCCCTATGGCTTACACTGCTCAGAGACTTGCTTTTGAGAAAGGTGTGTAGATAAAGAAGTGGATAAACGCAACCAACCTTGGTGAAGACTCGCCACCACTGCCAGTGTCGGAGCTTCAGGTATGCAGCACAGTTCCGCTGCAAGACCTTCAAGGCGCTCAGCTGTTGCTGTTTCTTGGCAAAAGCTCTGAAGGACAAGGAAAACTTGAGATGTGAAGGGGAACAGGTTTCAATGGTTGCTGTCATCACAGGTCTTTTATAGAGGCAAACATTTATTGTCAGGGACGTGTACAAGACTGTGCTGTGCGGGGGTTATCAGTCAATCCTGTGGTCCTTTCACTACCTATTGCCACTTCCCACATACACAGCCCATGACACTGATTCTCCTGAGGCTGTTTCCTTTGCTCACCTTAAGCTCCTCTCTTCTTTCTCTTATCACCTGTCACAGAAGAAACATGTCCTCATGCTTCTCAGGTCAATCTCTTCTTTTCCCTCATTCTGTTACAAGGCAGCGTGCTGAAGTTGGGGTGAACTTGGAGATTGTCTCTCACTTTAGAGGCGAAAGCTTCTCGAAGTTTCTCAGGCACTTCCAGGACACAGATGTGACCCATTAACTCTTACTTTCCTCTCTGGGTTTTCCCACCATTCTATGCTGCCTTCTTGGTCCCTCAACATGGTCTGAGACCACCTTTCCACTCACCTTTGCTCTAGTTTTAGAAATTTATCCTTGTCTTCACAAACCAACCCCCCTTTTGAACTCCTCAACCCTCTCTGGCCAAAAACCAAAGAAATAATGAGAAAGAAAGAAAAGTCACTGTCTTGCCTTCCTTCTAGCACACAATTTGTCTTATGTTGTTATTGCGTACCATAGAGTTGGAACCAACCCATGGTTGACCCACTGGCAGGTTTTCAGAGGCAATTAATCACATGGGAGGAGACTGCCCATCTTTCTCCTGAAGAGCAGCTGGTGGATTTGAACTGCGTGCCTTGAGCATTGAAGCACAGCTTCTTACCACTAGGCCACCAGAGCTCCCTTCTCTTACAATAACTGCTATAAAGTTTTAGGCTCTGTATCCCAATTACGTTACTCACTGACTTCTGGTTTCTACCTTCTTCTACTGAAGGTGCATTTAAGACGTCTGTAAAGGGCTCCCTCGGTAGAGAATTTAGCAGTGTCTCCTATGCTCCCTGGTTAATTTGTTTTGCCAAACAGACCACCTTAGACTTCAGAGCACAGGGTCAATCTCCTTCATCCTTCTGTTACAGCTCACCCTCCACTCTAACTCTGCTCAGTGACTGTCTTCCCACTAGACTCAGTTCTCGGGAACAGGGACGATGCCCTCACCATCGTTGCTTTTGAGCCCACTGGTGCAACTACTGTGCTAATCCATCTTGTTGATGGTCTTCCTCTTTTTTGCTGACCCTCTCCTTTACGAGCTATATAGTCCTTCTTAGGGACTTCCTGTTGTTAGGTGCCAGGAACACGTCTACCACTCAACACAACTTTATAAACAACAGACTGAGGTCCTGCACCATCCTCATGATGGCCGCTGGGCTCAAGCCCACTGCTGGAGTCACTGTCAGTCCATCTTGTTGAGGGTCTTCCTCTCCTTCTCTGACCCACTATCTTTCCAAGCACTATGTATCCCTTTCCAGCAACTGATAACATGCCTAAAGCATGTGATTCCGTGTACAGATTCCCTAACACCAACTAATTCTTCCTGGCTGGAGAGGTTTCCTCAGACTTCACTGCTTCATAACGGATTTTAATCTTGCGCTCTCCACAGTCTTCTACATTCTGATGTGTTCCTACCAACCAAGAAGCAAATTTTTTTTTTTTTTGCTAAACGCAAAGCCTTCACTTTAAGTTTCAACAATGTTCCTTTCAATTTAATATAAATTGCCTTCAGCTGTAAAAATTCATCTACTCCTCTAATTAGAAACCACAGCTCCACTCTCAAGGAATGAAAACTTTCAGCATCTTAAGTCAGGACTATGTCAGACACTTTTTAGTGAATGAGGCAGCAGATGTTCTCTTCTTCACAACAGTCAGCCTAAATAACTGATTACTGATACACATTTTTACAATGACCCGGTCTTTGGAACTGAGTCATATTGTAAAGTGAGGAGTGGATGTATACTTTTCCAATACTTGGAGCACTATACTGCCTTCACCTTCATTACAGCTGTTTTATTTAAAAAATAGGATATCTGCAGTTATTGATTTATACCCATTCTGACTGCTATCCCACTATATCTAGACTGTGACTGGAATATTTAGGGGAGAGTAGTGCAAAACTCTTTGCAATCACTTGCTATGCATCAGAAAGCTGGACAATGACTAGGGATGATAGGAGAACTGATGCCTTAGAGCTGTGCTGGAGAAGAGTATTGACTATACCATAGATTGCCAAGAGAACAAACAGATTTGCCTGCAGAGGGTGAAGCCAGGCTGCTCCTTGGAGGCAAAGATTCTGAGGCTTCTTCTGACATACTTTGGACATGTTGCAAGGAAGGACCAGTCCTTGGAGAGGGACGTCATGCTTGGGAGGGTGGAGGGACAGTGCAGGAGAGATTCAGTGACTGGGGAAATGGGGGGTAGGTGTGTCAGAGACAGTAAGATTGGCACAGGATAAAGCAGGGTTTATGGCTGTTGTACATAGGGTCGCTACTGAGTCGCAAGCGACTCTACGGCACATAACAACAGTGCAAAAGACACAAACATGCTAGCTTACATTGTAGAGTATCAGACAGGATAGTTTTTAACATGAGACTATACTAGCGTAGTATCTTAGTTCTATAATTTCCATGTTGCTGAAAAATGTGCAAGGTTTAGACTTTAAAAAAAATTTTAAAAACTAATAATAAACAACCCCCAAAATCCAAGTGTGCATTGCTTAGTGTCTACTTGGGCATTAGGAAACAGATTTTACTACATATATGTGTGTGTGCGCAGAACATACACAGGCAATATACAGAATTATGAGTGAGTGACCAAGAGTGAGCACATAGACAGAAAAGTAAACAAGTCCTGGAGGAAGTGCAACCAAGGGGCTGCTTAGAAGAGATAGCCAAGCAAACAGATGACTTTTCCAAATAGCGACATGCTGTAGGAAGGAAACAAACAAAAGGACAGGATAGAAAATAAAGGTCAGGGGTCTTGCTTCTGACTGAATCCTCAGGAAGGCTTTTCAAGCTGAAACCTCAAGACTAGGAGGCGGTGGCCGTGTGAGGAGCTGGTGGCACCAGCAGGGGCTCCTGGCTATAGAAGGAGTAGCTGTAGTGGGCCACCCCTTCACACCCCTGCACCCAGATCTGGCTGCTTGTGCAGCCCTGGCCCAGCCCACTATACCCCGGGCACATGCCAGTCTCCTGTATCTAGTGGGTCCAGCTCTTGGGCTTTGTCTGGTGTGCTCCCGTAAGGCTTTAATATAATAAGCTTTAAGAAGATTTAGGCGTGACCTGTGCATAATAATAGGATGTTTGCATAATGTCCTATCTCACAGAATCCATTGTTGAGTGTGGAGCAACACAGACCTGAACATTCATTCCATGCCCTCTGGACAGCTGTCCTGTTTCCGGCAGTTGTAAAACTTATTCACTTGGTTAAGTCAGGAGGGCATATGTACACACTTATTCCCCACTCTGTGTCCAGTGGACACTGTCAGTGTTTGCTAAGATTGGGTTCATTTTATTATACGATCACGCCCTTGGCTTTCACATACACAATCCCAAGGCTTTCACACCCTTCCTGGGATGGGAGTTTTTGGGTGAGGCAAATGGCTAATATGTATGGCTGTTAACCAACAGGCTGGAGGTTCAATTTCACCCACAGGCACCCTAAAATAAAGGCCTGGCGGGCAATTTACGTAGTGAAAACCAGTAAATACCCTCATGTGCCTGGGGCTCCATGAGCTGAAACAGATTCCACTGCAGTTGACCTTGATTTGGGTTTTGGTTTTTCCTAATATGCAATGTTAAGAACGTTCTCCTTCACTTTTCTGAGCTATTCAATATCCTATTTTATGGGCAGAGAAGCACAAGTACTACTGCCACCTAATTCAATTAAGGACAGAAATCAGCATCTGGACCAGGGGCCAAGCATGCTGCCAGGCTGTGACCAGAGCTGTGCCCACTCACCCAGTGCCATCATCTGAGTCTTAACCCCTGATACAGGGTCCACAGGCTGCCTGTCTAAACTGCAAGCGTGTCAAACTAGTCACCCCTCTCAACTTCCCTCACCCTGCCGGAAAAAGCAAAGAAAACACTAGTAGTATTTCCCTAGTGTCAGAAGCCTGGCTAACTTGCAAGGCAAGATTAGCACTATATTTGTAAAACAAGCAGAACTGATTCCATCTTGGCTAGAACCATCTTGAGCGGAAACCTAAATGAGATGGTGTGATTGCCCCTGCACGTGTGTTTCAGAGACCTGGATGGGATAGTGTGATTGCCGCTGTAGGTGTGTTTTTCGAAAGCCTATATGTCTTTTTAGAGATAATAAAAGAGGGATTCGTGATCAACGAGGAGGCTCTCTGCGTCTTCATTTAATCCTCATCCCTTCTCTTGACAGAACTGTTTTGATATATTGGGGCAGGACCTTGATAATTGGAGCCCGAAATTAGGGACCCAAGAACGAAGGAAAAGGCACGAAGGACTCTGTGAACGTGTAAGGTAGGAACTTACTGAAATTGCCTTCGGTGAAGGTAAGATTGAAGAAGAGCAGAGATGGGAATTAATCAGGTAAAATGTTGTATACTGAAAATGCTGAAAACCCGCGGTGTAAAATTAAATCCCCAACAACTTGATACTTTCAGCTTGTGGAGATTAGTTCTAGATACATTAAACTCTGGGAATAAGATGAAGATGAAGTTAAAAGATGAAGTTGAAAGTAATCATATATTAGAAACGGAAGAGTAAAATATGGTTAAGAATAAGAAAGAAAAGGTTTTAACACAGAAGTATAAAGAAAGGTTGAAAATAAAAAAGAAGAAAAGTGTTATAACTCACAATTGAGGCCTCAAAATGTTTATGTTAATTGTTTTGTCTTGTTTTCTGTCTAAATTAATTTACTGTCTCCGTGTTCATTGTCTTTCTGTCTTATGTGACAATACTTGAGCAGTTTCAGTAAAGAATAAGAATTGATAGAGACAAATTTAAGTTAATACCTGTATGAATTCTAAATTTCATAGGTGAGGAAAAACCCAAAAGCGGTGTCTCAAATATTTCAATGCGCCAAAAGGAGACCTTTTGTCTCAAGAGATTTTTGGGAGATCAGCTCTTGGCATCCTCCATCACCTTCACAAATCCATGCATTTTAGTTGGTATCTACATACTTAAGTAAAAAATTTCTATCTGCTTTAGCCAGTCTTGAAAAATACGCATGCCTGTGGCCGGCACTCCAAGTCTGTGTAAGCTGTGCCTTGTGCTTGTTGCTGTACTTTAAATGAAAACTGTAGAAGTAAAAATAGAAACTCTCCACTCTTTTGTTCTTTATAGCCCCTTAATTAATGCTTGCCTGTATTGTATCTGGTTGTACAAGTAAAAGCTGCGTAGCTTGATAATCACTTTCCTTCTTATAGACTCTTTTCAAAGTCCAAATAATTATATTTCTCATTTACAATTTATTTTAAATTTTTTAATTTTGAATGACAATAAAAGGTCTGCCATATACGGAAAATGGGGAAACATTCAAATGAAAGTATGCTGAAATTAAATGGAAGGATGCATTAACAAAATGATGAAAAAAGACCCAACCCTATGTTAATATGGGGTCGAGGCTATGTTTGTGTTTTTCCACAGAACCCTAAAAGTGCCTTCCTGAAAAGCTGGTATGCTTAGCAAAGGATGTTTCACCTGACAGAAATAAGGATGGTCATGTTGCTGACTCTGACGATGAGGATTCAAGCTGAGTCTCAAAGGACATACGTTCCAAATCCTCTTCTGTACCTGGCGACATGGAATGAGTCCCTCACATGTTTATGTTAACATTACTTACACTTTAGGATATCCTATCTGTCTTACCAAAAGTAAACCAAAAAATGGGTGTTTATTTGTTAATAAGATGCAAAGAGATTTGTTAATAAGATGCAAAGAGTATATTTAAAATTAGACAGTGGAAACCCATCGTGGATTGTACAATAGAAATATTTGGCTTTCTACCAATGAGCTTCTGGATATGGTGCAAGTAGAATAAATACCACCTTTCCCTCATGTTTTGAGAAAGGTCGTGCTGGCATCTGGCAACCACTTTGGAGAAAATAACAGCACTATGACCATTCTCTTATCTAACATTAATACTGGTAATGTAATTTTTAAAGGACCAACGGTTGGAATGCTACCTTGCTTGGACTACCCTATGTTATTAGACTGGTCACCCCTTCATACATCTGGTCATGGACTTCCTATGAAAGGATTTGTGGGAGGAATGTGGACTATTAATATGAAGAACTTTTAAAGTGAATTGTGGAAATTAGTTGCAAGCATGGAATTGATAAGTATTTCTTGTATCCCAAAGGATAAATGTAAGGGAGATAATGGCACAAATGCCTAAGTTATGTCTTGTTTACCTGAACCATATGTCTTATTAATTGGTAATAATGTGATCACTGCTGATTATCCAAAATATAATGTAAGTTGTTCTTGTTGTAAAATCTCTAATATCAGCTTTATTACCAAATGTAAGTTGTTCTCGTTGCAAAATCTCTAACTATATCGCTCTATTACCAAAAATGATTCAGTTGTTATTCTAAAGAATCCTCCCTTGTATTGGTCATAGCCAAGCATTATAGAGAATTGCTGTGTAAAAAGCACGGAATTCAACTTAAGGCCCTCCCCAGACAAATGCAGGGTGCTTAGCCAATGATGGGTAAGGAAAGAGACCCGCTCATGATCCTAAGACAGGAAGTAGCATAAATTGCTATTATCCCCATGACGGGCAACTTGAGTTTGAGTTCCCTTATCCACCTAAGACAGGCAGCATCCAATTTATTATTTTAGAAGGGAGGAACTGTCAGAGGCCTGGCTACCTTGGCAAGGCAAGATTAGCAGTACATTTGTAAAACCAGAAGAACTGATTCCATCTTGGCTAGAACCATCTCGAGCGGAAACCTAAATGAGATGGTGTGATTGCTGCTGCAGGTGTGTTTCACAGACCTGGACGGGATAGTGTGATTGCCCCTGCAGGTGTGTTTTTTGAAAGCCTATGTAAGTCTTTTTAGAGATAATAAAAGAGCCTCCTTGTGATCAACGAGGAGGCTCTGTGCGTCTTTATTTAATCCTCGTCCCTTCTCTCGGCAGAACGGTTTCGATATATTGGGGCAGGACCTCGATACCCTAGATTCAAACAGTTTTTAAGTTCTTTTGATTCCTTCTCAAACCCAACCTTTCCTTTAATCTCGGACCCAGGCGCCCTCCTTATTCACTCAGATGGTGCTCCCAGCTCTACCTTCTCCACACTCCTTCAGTCTCGACAGTGCTGTCAGGGCCTTGAACGGCTGCCCCTCGGTGTCACATCACTGCACTTCTAAGGCCAGCCCAGTGCCTCACTGGTTTCAATGAGCCCCAGACATTCCGGACTGCTTGTTCCTCTAAGGACACAACTCTTCCCAGGACTATTGTAGAGCTCCCCAGTGGACCCTGCCCAGCTCCTCACAGGGCCAGCGCCTCTTAGTCTTAGGGTTTCAGCTTCAGAGAAGCCTTCTGAAAGAGGATTCAGTCAGAAGCAGGAGTTCATCCTGTATTTTCTACCCTGGCCCTTTGTTTTCTTCCTACAGAATGCCACTATTTGGAAAGTTTGTCTGTTTACTTGGCTCTCTCTTTTGCTAGAAATGCAACTTGCATAATGACAAAGACCACATACGTCACACACTCTTGTGCCCTTAGCATAAAACACAATGCTTAGCACAACCATGAATTTAACAAATGCATAATTTATGATAACTCACTCACTTTCTGGCGAGGTAACCTCTGCAAACAGCCTGGAAGAAGATGATGATATCGGTAATTTTTAAATCTCTTTCTTCCTCTAGGTGTGCCAAAACTCCAGCTCTGAAAAAGATCTTGCTCTGCCCAATTCTATACAAGTTAGGGTCCAGTTCTAATGCTCGGATCTAAGAGAGAAAGAATTCATTCATTTTGTGCAAAAGAAAAGATTACCATCTACAAATCAGAAAAATCCAGAAACACTTACCATCCGTTCGCAAGCCTGTTTGCCATCCATAAATCCTTTAGGTATAGCATTTGGAGTTAGGATCTCGTATCTGTAAGGAAAGCATCCAATAGATTTTTTTTTTTTAAAATCTGTGAATATGTTTATGATCTAATTTTGAGTTGTGCTTTCTCTAATAAAAAGACAGCAAACATGTTAAATTAAAAGTAATGACCAGGTAATAATCTGATGTTTCCTGTAGATCTAGCAAAGTGAAAATGGGGTCAAAGACAAGATTTAGGAGGTTGTGGGGGAAAGACTCAAAAGCATGGGTTTTTTGGGGGGGATGGGGGAATTGTTAATCATAGGGTTGCACAATTCGATGGATGAGGGGGCTGAAGGAATTGGGAAGGATCTTTTTTTAAATTTTATTATTATTATTACTATTATTATTATTTGTGTGTGTGTGTACTTTCAAATCAGAACTGACTAGTACAGGAGGAGGTTGCCTCTCCTTCACCAGCAGAGCATCTGGTGGATTTGAACTGCACACCTCTGGGATTGCAGTGCAGCTTCTTGCCACCAGAGCTTGCCAAGAGAAGGATCTTTTGTGAAAAACAATGTATTCAAACTTTGTGAATAAATCAGTATAAAATATTTAAAAAAACAAACCCAAAATCACAGCTATTCCATACCATTTAAAAATAAAAAAGGGTTTTATTTAAAAAAAATATTTTTAAAAAATTCCTACAACAAAAATGGAAAATCTACCAGATTATATATCTACAATTGTAACACGCGACCATACAAAGCAGTTTACTGAAGACCCATAGAGCTGGATGAGCTTCTCCACTAGATTCCTTCTGGAACAGGGGGAGAAAGGGTCATTCTATGACCTGTGTTGTTGTTAAATGCCATCATGTTGATTCTGACTCAAAGCAACTTCATGTTTAGCCACATTTATTTCATGGAACAGTAAATACTGCTTATGTTTGGAAATTTGATTTCCAAGAGAGATAAGGGGGGGAGATACCCCAAAATAACTATGATAGGAAATGACTCAATAATTTTTTTGGTTCTTTTGCCTTTATTTACTCAATAAATTTAAAAATTTTTATTGCACATGAGTTTTTCCATTTTGTTTTTTGCTTAACCAACTCCTTCTACCTTACTGCCTTTCCTTTTTCAGTTAAAGAATGCCAAATATATACATCAACACTGAAAAATACGTGCGCATACATACACCACGGAAAAGGCTGGAAAGATAAACCTCCTATGTTCTCAAGAGTCTTCCTAAATTACTTTTATGTACTATTAACTTCTTTGTATTTTCAAATTTTCCTAAAAAGAGTATATAATACTCACAGATTCAATTTAAAAAAAAATATAATTATTCTTGCCATGTTTCAGGTAGAACTGCCTAAATAAGTAAACTGGTTATTTTCAGTTTATCTCACAGCTCACTTGCTGGGGCCTCGAAGATGGGGACTATTGCTTTGAAGCATCCATGGCAGTCAAGGCTCTCTATCTTACTGTTATTGCCATCAAATCTGAACTGAAGCAAAGTTGAGCCTTCATGGGATGAAAGTGCCCATTTTTCTCCCTTGGAGCAGCTGGTAGATTCGAACTGCCAGAGAGTGCACGGCCTCTGGGTTAGCAGCACGACTCCTTTCAGACTGTGCCACTTATCAAGTTGTTGTTAGGTGTGGTCGAGTTGAGTATGGCTCAGAGCGCCCTTATGAACAACAGATATGAATCCTGTCCTATCCTGTGCCATCCTCCTCATCCCTGACACACATGAGCTCATTACTACAGTCACTCAAAAGTCTTGAATGTAAAGATAATGACCATTATCTCTCTCCTGTATCAAAGAAAACAAAACCTGTCCAGGAAACATTTCTCCCTCTCCCTCATTCCCCCCCCCGCCCCCCACTATTTAGATTCCTATTATTTGATATAGGAAAAAAAAGGGGGGGGGCAAATAAAAGAAGTCCAAATTACAAAAGAAATACCTCTGCCTGAATTCCTGGAAGACGATTCGGTTTGGGAACCCTTGGCGACAGATTCGGATCCCCTCTAGGACACCATTGCAGCGAAGCTGATCGAGCACTAGATGTGGGTCCAGTTTTCCTGCCTAAGTGAGAAAGCAATGTTTTTGGCTTAAGCTTATAACCTGCCAGAGACCAGGTCTGAAGGCCAGCATGGGTAGCGTTGTGTTGAACACATACCCGTTTCTCATGGTTTGGAATGATGCAGCGAACAAAGTTAGGGTTGGTATTCCGGAGGGTGGCCATCAGCTTGGTGAGAGACTCTTTGTAGAGTTGCCCTACGGTGCGAAACATGCCCTTCTTGGTTTTGTAGGCGGAGCCAAATGCTGTCTCGGTCATACCAGTGACTTGGTCCAGACCCACAATTCGGTCCACTGGGAAAAATAAGAGAGCACAGGGAAATCAGGCAAGTGCACCTCTGTTGTGGGGAAAGCAAAGACAGTGATAGTGCAGCAGCACAAGCTTTGTGGGACAAATGATGCCATATAGGTAAGGCAGTCGCATATCGACACTGCACAAGCCGTGGAACCAACAGCCACACACTTATATGGCATGATGCTGCTTTGAGAACTTCAGACTACTACATTCCAGCAGAGGGCTGCCACTGCGCTGGCTTGGGGAGTCACTGTCTTTGAGACTTTGCTTGTTCCATATACAGTTACTTTGTGAATGAAAGGCCACTGGCTGACATTATTGATACACAAGTGAACATGGTTATGTCTCAAAATGTGAAATGGCTCTGAAAGTATACATAGAAACATTCAGCTGTACAACATGAATCCCTTTAATGCATATGTGGGGGATAAGGGACCAGATTTATCTTCTATTGGTCATTAGATCTGCAGTTAGAAAAGTTCTTAAAGTGTCAGGGGCAAATGCAGGAAGATTGTAGTACATCAGCACAGATGGTCAGCAACATGAGCGTTCTTCAGCTTCCTCCTCAAAGCATGAACAATACTTATTAAAGGGCAAGGAAACAAAATCAGAAGGACTCTTCTGAAACAAACGCCTAAGTTTCCTATGTGGGCAGCGGTTCACTGTCTCAGACATCACCCTCGTTAAAACAGGTAACCTTTCACATTATCCACAGAGAAGTATTACTCTCTGTGGAACGGAGACATCAGAGCCCAGAGTCCGCAAAGGGCACAGCCAACAGTAAAGCCCTGAGTGCATAATATGCTCTCAATAAAAGCTTGTTAAACGAATGAAACACATTATGGAAATCTTTTTCAAGTAGCCAGAATGCCAAGGGGCCTGCTCTTATTAATACCCTCGTCACCCTAATAGACACTGCCATCTTCTTCCTTTGTTCCTTATTAAAGACACAGGGACTGGGCCCTATGTGAAGACTGCTACAAATAATTTTCCCTTAACACCAAGGATCCAATCAGATTTTTCCGAAGGAGAAAATCATGACTGAGGGAGGCAAGTTACTGCCCAAGTTACACAGGTCTTAAACAGATGCTGGGGAAATGGCGGAGGGACATGGTTTTATGTCCCAGTCCACGCATGCAACCACCTTACAACTTCTCCCAAGCAAAGTCACTAGATACAAGCTATTCCTTCTCCTGTAGTGGGTCCATCAGCCATATATCCACCCTGCACTTGCTCCAGCAGGAAACAGAACCAAACTTCACCCTGGTTCCCCACAAAGAAAAGACTTTTCTTTAGCCCTGATTCTGCCTACTTCCTCACCATCCCAGAGCCAAGCTGCTTTCTAAGGTATTTCTACACTTTTCACTTCATATCCTCCGCCACTATATCTCCCGGTGTACAGCTACCTGGCTTCTGCTCCATCCTCCTGCCTTGCCCAATGCCACTCAGGCAAGATGATACCAACAGACATCATGTTGTCCTTATTTTACATAACCGTCTCAGATTTACCTGCCGACCAGCATGGCAGCATTCATAAATCTCTCTAGTCCTGGCTCCTTTTGGGAGCCTTGCCTTGTCCTGTTTTCCCATTGACCTCTGGCTCCCTCTGTCTCCTATTTCTTGAGGACTTGTCCGCTGCTTTCCCTGTACATCTTGATACTCATAGGGATACAAACTCACCTGAAATAATTTCTGGAGTAAAGCAAGACACTAGGGCAGCCATATTTTACTGATTCTTTGCTTTCTTCAGGCCATAACTCCTCATTTTAGGGGATCTCAGCAGAGGTTAACTGGAAACATCTGACTACCCAGCACAATCGTCAACCCTTTCCCCCCCAGTCTCCTCTCTCCAAGGCCTCTCCACCTGTAAGTTACATAGGCTATCTTCTGTAAACACTCATCATGTCTGCTTCTATTCCACGCCGCATGCTCTGTATAGTATCAGGCATGTAGCCCAGGTTGATGATGTATTTTAGTGGATAACTGAAGTGAACAAGAGATACATTTACAACTGTAAACAGTGGGAATTCCATGAAAAGAGCAGGGTGTTCTGGGAAACATGGACGAATAGGGAGGTCTCTGGATGAGAATGGGCCAACAAGAGAGGACCATTCCAGGCAGTGGGGACAGCGAGCATGACAGTCCAGAGAAAGCATGATGGTCCAGCTGCAGGAGCAGAAAGGTGGCTAAGTGCCCAAAGAGCTTTCTGAGTAAGGAGATTGTGTAAAGAGGAGGCAACGATGGGGAGGCTGACTGGGGCCTCAGGGGCCATGCTGAGCTTTTATTTTATTCCTACTATAGGAGGGTAGAGAGAAGCATGCATTGGCTGTGACACTAAAAATGAATATGTATGGGGTCGGAAAAGTGAAAGTGGGGAGGCCAGACAGGTGCCCACAACAGCAGCTTGACCTGGTGAGAAGGGATGGATAAGGCAGCATATTCAAGACATACTCTGATCAAATAACCAACTTGCTTTCTCCTCAGATCATCTGATATAGAGAGGAAGGAAGAGGGACATTTTAGTAATGATTTCCAGGACTTGGGTTAGGACAACAGACTGGCTGGTGATTCCATGACTGATGTGAGGAAGGTGAGAGTGGTGGGCTCTATGGGTGGGAAGAGAGTCTGGGCACTATCTCCATTTGGGATGACTAAGATATCAAAGTGGGGAGAGAACATCAGGCAGGCAGTCTGTTGCTAAGAACAGAGATCTAAGAGAAATAGAATTGAGAATGGAAGTTTAAGTTACAGGACTGAATGAGACCATCTCAAGAAAGAGCAAAGAGAAAAAAAAAAAGAAAGCGCAAAGAGGTGAAGGTCTGGGGTCAAGGTGCTCATGAGAGCAAGGGCAGAAGTGAGGATGCGAGGCCACTATCGAGGCAGTCTCTACCCCACCCTCCACCCTGCTCCTCCTTCTCCTCCATTTCCCCTTGGAATGGGGCCACTGGTTATCTAGGTGGGAACAGGAGGCAGCCTTGAGTCTTTCTTCACATCTTGTTGCTCACCAACATTGGTCAAGCCAAGCTACATGTCTCTGATCCAGCCCCTCTGTCCACTCCCGTGTCTCAGTGATGAACCCTCTCAGTGATGCTGTAGTAACCTCTTAAGCGGCTGTTGCCACCTCGCTTCCCTCCTCACCCTGTACTTCTGCTGCTGGGGTGGTCTTTCCACTATGCCCTGTGTCCCAGGGTAATGATAAACTACACCCCTTTCCCTCCAGAATGTCCCAATTTGTATGTTATTTAGTCCTATACTTAAAATCCTCTCATTCCTCTCACTGCTGGTATGATATAGTCCCAACAATCAAATAGTATAGCACAATACTGAAGAACAGAGAAGAAAATATCTGCCCTGGGAGCTATGAAGTCCTGGGACAAGTTATCTAACCTGGCCAAGCCTTAGTTTCCTCCTCTGTGAAATGGAGCTAAGGGACTTACCTCACAGAAGTGCCTGAAAACCAGCCAAGTGGTCAGTGAGCTCCCCTGTGGCCCCCTTTCCTCACTCACGAGGCTTTGATGTAAAAAAACAGAACCATGTTGGTCCGGCCCCATGCCCACTCACTTGCAGTCACCCTGGTACATTCACAATCACTTTCAAATATCCACTCTTTTACTGAACTCCTTTTGGAAAGTCTTCTTAAGCTCCAGTTTCCATCTGGACTTCAGGCCAAGCAAGCTACTCCCCTGTCCAGGCTTCAATCACCCAGAGCAGACTTCTACATTGTTCTGAAAGTCTCCCCACTGCACTGAATTTCCCCAGCATCCATATCCTAGAGGCTTTGAGGGCTTGTCCTGGGCTCCAGCTGGCCGGCTGCTCTGACCACCAGTTCAGATAATTTGTGCTGAGCCAGCCCAGTGCCTGCCATGGAGATGTTTAAGGAATAGCCGCTGGCTGAGTACTAGATTTGCCAGAATAAATCCCCATCACAATAGAGGAAGAACACCACATTTTCTTAGCAGGAGCTCTACAGCATTGCTTTTGTAATAACTTAGCCTGCAAGGGGAGGCTTTATTTTATCTGTTTATATTTACCTTTGATTCCTGTATCTCCTGTGCACTGTTACCTTTTTAAAGATAACATGATATCGATGTCTAGTAATACAAGTCCAAGGGGATTTTATTTTATTTATTTATTTTATTTTAGAGGGTTGTTGTTATTTCTAATTCACAGCAACCCTGACAGAACTCAACTCTGACTGACCCTGAGCCTTCCTCACAATCCTGCAGAGCTTGAGACCACAGCTGTGGTTCTCTTGTGAAGAAGTCATCATCCTCATCCAGGAACAGCCACCTCCTGGAAAGGTTTCTTTTTCTCCGTCCTCGGCTTTATCAGGTATGATGTGTTCCTCCAGGAACTGGCCCCTTCTGATAACACATCCAGAGTATATTGAAACAAGGTCTTACCACCCTCGTTTCCAAGAACTGTGGCTGTATGTGAGACAGATGTGGGTTTTTTGAGAATAGTAAACAAAAATATGTAATCATAATTAACTTGGTTTTAATCATTTTAGTAGGAGTAACTCAAAGCTAACCATTCAGATTTTAAAAATTGGTGCTTTCAACTTTTGGGGTTTTTTTTTAAAAAAAAGAAAAATTCAATTAAATATTTAATTTGGTTAGTCTACCAATGAGCAAAATTATTTTGTGGGTAAAAGAGACAGACTTCAGGAAATTCATTAAATAATTTAAACCACAGTAATAATATATAAGGGAGCTCTGGGGGCCTAATGGTTAAGAAGCTGTGCTGCAAACCCAAAGGCACATGTTTCGAATCTACCAGCTCTTCCATAAGAGATGGATGGGCAGTTTCCTCTCGTGCAATTTACTACTTTTGAAAATGCACTAGAGGATCAACTGTGGGTAGGTTCTGACTTGATGGCAAATAACAATAATAAATAATTAAATTAAAACTCAGAAGAAACCCATTTTCATGTTGAAAATGCTGGGAACATGAAGTAGAAAGCAGTAGAAGACTCAAGCACATTCTAGAAACAAGCAGT